CGAGTGTCGGGGGATGGAGAGGGGTAGGGCAGGGGCTAAGGTAGGGGGTAAGGGGATCAAGGGAGTCTATAGTTTGGGAATTGGTTCGTGGAACATAGAAACGCTGGCGGGTAAGTCTATAGAGTTAGCTAAGATTCTCCATAAGAGGATGGTCAATATAGCATGTGCTCAGGAGACTATGTGGGTAGGAACGAGGGCGAAGGACGCAGACGGGTTTAAACTATGGTACTCAGGTAGCAGGAAGGTAGGAACGGGGTGGGTATTTTGGTGGATAGGGATCTTAGAGAGTTGGTGGTTGATGTTAGGCGGGTGAATGATAGACTTATGGCGATTAAGTTAGTTGTTGGAGAGCTCACCCTAAATGTCATTAGCGCTTACGCACCCCAAGTGGGCTTAGATGAGGAGGTTAAAAGGCGCTTCTGAGAGGAGTTGGATGAGCTTGTGCGTGGTATTCCGCCCACTGAGAAGTTGTTTATAGGAGGGGATTTTAATAGGCATATTTAGACATCCGCTGGAGGCTACGGTGAGGTTCATGGCGGTTTCGGATTTGGGGATAGGAACGGAGGAGGTACGACTCTGTTGGATTTCGCTAAGGCTTTTGAGCTGGTTGTAGCGAACTCTTTCTTTCCCAAGAGGGATGAACATTTGGTTACTTTCCGTAGCACGGTGGCTAAGACCCAGATGATTACAAGGTTATCCCGAGTGAGTCCCTCGCGTCGCAACATAGACTATTGGTGATGGACGCCGACATCATGATGAAGAGGAAGAAACGGGTTGTAAGGGGTCGTCCGAGGATCGAGTGCAGAGCTTTTTCTAAGGATAAAGCATAAGAGTTGGAGGGGAAGCTGATGGATTTGGGGGCCTGGAAGAGTAGTGATGACGCATGTGTTATGTGGTCGATGACAACGAACTGTATTAGGAAGGTTGCGAGGGAGGTGTTAGGGGTCTTAATGGGTTACTCTGGCGGGCACAAAAGAGATTGGTGGTGGAATGAGGAGGTTCAAGGAAAAGTGGAAGCAAATAAAGCGGCATACTTGAAGTTAGTGCAGAGTACAGACGAGGATGAGAGAAGAGCGAACACGGCAGGGTATAAGAAGGCAAGGAAGGAGGCGAAGCTAGCGGTCACTGATGCCAAGAATGCAGCGCTTAGTCGTTTGTATGAAGAGTTGGGGGAAAAAGGCGGGGACAAGAAATTATTTTGGTTGGCCAAGGCGATAGAGAGAAAGGCTCGTGATCTGGATAAAGTGAGGTGCATCAAAGACGAGGAAGGAAGAGTTTTAATGGATGAGGCTATGATTAAGAGGAGATGATAGACTTACTTTCATAAACTTCTGAATGAAGAAGGAGACATAGACATTGTGTTGGGTGATTTGGAGCACTCCGAGAGTCGCCGTGATTTTAGGTACTGTAGGCGCATTAAGGTTGAAGAGGTCGTTGGCGCTATGCGTAAGATGAAAAGGGGCAGAGCAATTGGGCCGGACGAGATCCCGATTGAATTTTGGAGGTATGTCGGCAAAGAGGGCCTGGAGTGGCCGACCAGGCTGTTCAATGTTATTTTTAATACGAAGAAGATGCCAGAGGAATAGAGATGGAGTACGGTGATTTCATTGTACAAGAACAAAAGTGATATCCAGAATTGTAACAACTATAGAGGTATCAAGCTGCTTAGTCAGACGATGAAAGTGTGAGCGAGGGTAAGGAGGTCGGTGTCTATATCTGAGAACCAATTTGGATTCATGCCGGGTCATTCAATTACAGAAGCTATTCATCTTATCCGGAGGTTAATGGAACAGTACAGAGATAGGAGGAAGGATTTGCACATGGTGTTTATTGACCTAGAGAAAACATACGACAAGGTCATGAGGGAGGTTCTTTGGAGATGCTTGGAGGTAAAAAGTGTCCTGGTAGCTTACATTAGTATGATTAAAGACATGTATGATGGAGCCAAGACTCATGTTAGGACAGTAGGAGAAGACTCAGAGCATTTTTCGGTAGTTATGGGGTTACACCAACGATCTGCGCTCAGCCCTTTCTTATTTGCTCTTGCAATGGACGCACTAACGCATCATATTCAAGGGGAAGTGCCATGGTGTATGTTATTTGCCACTACAACAAAAGATGGTTTTACCATAATTGCCCCTAAAGTATATTTTTTAGCAAAAAGTATATTTTTAGTGGCAATTCAAGAGAATAGCCCGAAAAAATTTGTTTTTACTTTTTCTCTTGCCTCCAATTTATTTTTCGCTTTAATATTTTCCCTCCTATATAATTTACCACTTCAATTTTTCTTAAAAAAATACTACGAATCTCGTTGTAATTTGGACTTCAAACTACGCTCTTCCATAAGCTTTGCAAGGTTCCAGGAGTAAAAAAACCAAACATTGCAATTTGGCTTCAACAAACAAAATTCTTCGTAGGTTGTAGGTACGATTTTGATTAATCTCTTTATTTCTAATTCTATATTTTTCAATCTCTCTTTATACACTTTCTATCTCTATCTCTATCTTTTAGAATTTAGGGTTTAATGGTTATGACAACAGAAAGATTGAACCTTTTTGACTCAATACCTAAAAACCCAACTCAATTTTTCCCCTTATAAGCACCTTTCTTCGCTAAATCTCATGTTTTATTGTTTTGGTATTCTTTGTGCTTAAAACCATAGCAGACTTTAGCGCTTTCTACAAGGTCTTGTTTGTTAATAATGCATTGACTGCCATTGAATAGCTTTTGCTCTATGTTTTTACATATGTGTTTATTAAGGCAGATGATGAAAATTTCGTTTCCTGGGACTGTCATTCATGATAGCTACTAAGATCATCCTATTTCTCAAATCTCTTCCTAATCTTTTTTTATTTTGCTGTAATATAATTGAATTAAGATAGTGCTTTTAATTAATTGTGGTGTTCTTTCTTGTTTTAGGCAGACTATAATTTTGAATTTAAAATCTCTTGGTATGGTTGAAATTGTATTTGCTGGATCAATTCAATTAGCTAGCTTGACAGATTGAATGTTAAGGGTGGAGAAAAGTTTATGTTTTGAATTATAATGTTGGTAGTTGTTTATACCCATGGAATGTTTTGCTGCATTTTGTGTTCATTCTCAGAACAATTTCTTCTGGCTAGATAGACTGAGTCTCATTATTGAAGTTGTGTGATTATTCTACGTGAACATCCAGTACTAGCAATTTAAAGATCTTTGCTATGAAGGAACTCTTTCCTGTTGATTTCATCTTAGTAAACTTCATTCTTAATGATTATCGTCTTAAAATTATACCAAGTTCAAGTCGTATTTTGGATTTGGTAATATTTTAATTTTCTTTAATTTTTAAGTAGTGAAAGTTGCATTTTTATGGGGATTTTATATCAGTTATTAGAATAGAAAACATGTTTTTTTTTAAAGTAGTAGTTATTCTGGCTTTGTTATATGATGAATCTGGATCAACGTGTTTGTGTGTAAAAATATCGGTTAGGATGGAGTTCATGAGAAATAGGTGTTAGATCATGATTCTCTAATCCTTAAATTAAATCATGAACTTATACCCATTAGTGCTAGAAAAAATGATGGCATAAATACCAATGGCCGGTAAACGATATAGCGGCTATTGTTATTGCTGCTAAAGCTGTTTTTAATTGCCGCTAAAGCCCCTTTTTTGTTGTAGTGCTGATGATATAGTTCTGATTGATGAGACGCGAGGAGGGGTTGGCGAGAGGTTGGAGGTTTGGAGACAGACCCTTGAGTCAAAAGGTTTCAAGTTGAGTAGGACTAAGACTGAGTACTTGGAGTGCAAGTTCAACGATGTTACGGAGGAAGTGGACAACGACGTGAGGCTTGATTCACAAGTCATCCCCAAAACGGAAGTTTTAAGTACCTTGGGTCGATTATCCAGGGGAACGGGGAGATCGGCGAGGATGTCACACACCGTATAGGAGCAAGTTGGATGAAATGGAGGTTAGCATCTGGCGTTTTATGTGATAAGAAGGTGCCCCGGGACTTAAAAGTTTTCACAATTCCAATCTCAAAGAATAATATATTGAAAAAATTGAAAAACAAATTAGACCCATATTGATTTGTAGCCAATGTTGAAGCTACTTAAAATTATGCACCTACATACACATGTTGTAGTAGATAGCATTGTACCCACTTTTTAGTTTTCATATGTCTAGCAAATTAACAATGTGTCAATCGGATGAGCTCTTTTGTCTTTTTACCAAAATTAATATCTAATTCTCCTTCCCTCTCTCTTCCTCCTCTCTTTTCCATTCTCTCATATACTTTCCTTTTCCCGACTTCCATATTCAACTAACCAAAGCTTTTTACATGGCTAGTTATTGTTATTCTCCACATGTATCACCATTAAAGTTTTCATAATTCCAAACTCAAAGAAAAAATATATTGAAAAACAAATTAGACTAATGTCCCCCTTTCCCCCCTACAACCGACTTTGATGTTCATGTTTTTCTCTTGTTCTTCATTGGATTCTCTGAGAAAAGAGATGAAAGAAGCAATGGGCGTGGATTGTCCACCAAAAAGAACTTCTAACTCAAAAAGAACTTCAGCAAACGCTAATCTGGAAAATTTCATTTTAAGAACATATTTACCGTGGAAACTAAAGTTAAGAAACTGTTGAAATCTGCAAAGAATTGTCGGTGGAAACTGAAGATAAGAAAATGGGTTGAAAACTGCAAAGAATTTTGCAGTGAAGCAAAATTGGATTTCTTCTCTGCCCGCGAGAGACGCCAAGTACGGTGGAGGAAAGAGTTGGATGAGTTAAAAGACAAAGAACCCATTTAATTCATGTGTTGCTAATTTGCTGACAGGGACATTTATGGAAACTAAAAGTTGGTACAATGCAAACCTACTACAGCAACGTAGTAGGTTAGCAAGATCCAATATATATATATATACACACATACATATATATATATATATATATACACACACATATATATTGCTAACACGGTTGTAGTAGGTTAGCATTATACACATAATTTAACTCTCCAAAATGCCCATACTATTTGCTGCCACCACATTAAATTTAGGGACTTTTCTGTCCTTCTAAACTTGAAATACTAAACCCCCAGCTTACTAGAACTCTTTCTCCGCAGTAGCCCCTTCACCTCTCTCTTCTTCTCTTTCCATAGCAACGAAGAACAATTTGCGAATAACAAAGTGATTTTGCAAGGTTCGGTACATACTCAGAAGAAGAATAAAGACAAAACACAAAATAAGAATTGTATTATTTTAATAGACTCCATGTGCATGACTGAAGAAAAATGAATCTTGAATCTGTAAAATCCAATTTTGGAACAATATATGGTGGATTCTATTGGACAAGATCAAATAGACTAATTGTTGGGTATAAACAAATCAAAAAGCAAACTGACAAAATTTTACACCATAATCTGTTTACTAAAATGAAGAGACATTAGAGCAAAATCTTACTTCCATTATATTATTGTCAAGTTGTGAGAGAAAAAGATACTGGATTGAGAAGAACGGCCTGCTGATGATGGGAAAAAAAAGTGCTGCTGACTTTTTTTCCCGCCATAACGTTGTAGAGGTGGGAAATGCAGATTGCAGAGATAAAAGTTAAAATGGCGAATTTTTCTAGAACCAAAAAAAAAAGCCCCTAAATTTAATGTGGTGGTAGCAAATAATATGGGCATTTTGGAGAACTAAATTATGTTTACGATGCTAACCTACTACAACCATGTTATAGGTTAGCAAAACCCATATATATATATATACACACACACACCCCCTTCGGCCAAGCCGCTTTGTCTATTCATTGGATTGATGTCTGATAGCTTTTCCTTCTCCCCAACTGCTGCCATGTCACGCTACTTGTGTTCGTACTCCGTTGTAGAATGGGGTTGTCCGAAAGAAAAGACTGACACATAGTTATAGTTGAAATATAAAGGCATTCATTAGAATTTCAATGCGCATTGAGCGAGTAATTAGTTCAGGACTTTTTGTATGAGAGATCTAGTTCTAACAGTTTTTCCGTGAAGGCTCTCTTATTTTCGGGATGGAAAGGTGAACAAGAAGGGAATAAGCTCTCAAGCCTCGGAGGAGAACAATATCTTGTGGAAAACAGGCAATTGCCTGGCAAAATAAAGCAAGTCCCGGAAAGTGGAAACCACCCGGAAAATGACAAAAGCTATCAAAATAAGCCAGACCTAAGAGAATGCTAAGGGACATCAGTGAGAAAATAGCATTATCATAAACAAAAATTCTGCACAGTACTTTGATGATTGAAAGTTGTTTGCCTTCTCTTCCTGCATGTTAGCTGCAGCAGCTTTCATTTAACTTGTTTGGTTTGGATGGAGAGCGGGAAGCAATATGAAATCATGAAAACTATTTTCTACTAAGGCAGACTTAATTATTTCAACCAGGATAGTGATGAGAGAGAAAATTGTCTTCTGTTAGCTTTGCTCTGCACCTAGAGGTCCTAGACAAAAGGAAGGGAACTTTCTTTTTTCAGTTTTCTTTATCTTTCTTTGCTTCAGTTTCCATTCCTTTCACTTTGTTTTATCCGGTTCCAAAGATATCTGAATTGTCTTCCGTTAGCTTTGTTTTATTTAACCTTTTTACTTGGCTTAATCAGGCACATGTATCTAGTTGTGATCATTTTTTGGACTGTGTCTGCTCCTTAGTTTAACATAGGTTTCTTTTTGTATGTTTATGAGCAGAAACACTCTATTTAATTATACCCTCTTTTGCTATGCATCTTCTTGATGCCCTTAATGAAATTCTCTTACTTCATCAAAAAAAAGACATCTGAATAGAGGTCAATGTGAATCGATATCCGAGAAACATATCCACTTTCTTATCTAACAGATCTGTGAGAAAACACGGGAGAAAATATATTATTGATATTAGATGAACATTACAATACAAGAGGTCCTTATTTATAGTTATACTATACAAGGACATACTACTCATCTACCAACGTGGGACAATACTACACTATATACATGCTGTAAACTAACACTCCCCCTCAAGCCGGTGCATATAAATCATATGTACCGAACTTGTTACGTATATAACTAATACGAGGACCAGTGAGAGACTTGGTGAAAATATCTGCAAGTTGATCATTCGACCTCACAAACTTTGTAGCAATCTCTCCTGAAAGTATCTTTTCTCTGACGAAGTGACAATCAATCTCAATGTGTTTAGTTCTCTCATGGAACACCGGATTTGATGCAATATGAAGGGCAGCTTGATTATCGCACACAAGTTCCATCCGACTGATTTCACCAAATTTCAACTCCTTGAGCAATTGTTTGGTCCAGACTAGCTCACATGTTGCCATAGCCATTGCTCGATATTCTGCTTCTGCACTAGACCTAGCAACTACATTCTGTTTCTTGCTCTTCCAGAACACCAAATTTTCCCCTACTAAAACACAATATCCAGACGTAGAACGTCTATCAGAAGGTGATCCTGCCCAATCAGCATCTGAGTATCCAATGATCTGCTCATGACTTCGATCCTCAAAGAGTAACCCTTTGCCTGGAGTCGATTTTATATATCGAATAATGCGGACAACTGCATCCCAATGACTATCACAGGGAGAATTCATAAACTGACTTACAACACTCATAGGATAAGAAATGTCGGGTCTAGTCACAGTGAGATAATTTAATTTTCCAACCAGTCGCCTATAGCTTGCAGGAACGCTAAGCGGCTCCCCCTGTCCTGGCATAAGTTTAGAATTCGGATCCATCGGAGTGTCAACAGGTCTGCAACCTATCATCACCGTCTCCTCAAGAATGTCTAAAGCATATTTTCTTTGAGAAATAATAATACTTGAGCTAGACTGGCAACCTCAATACCTAGAAAGTACTTCAATCTGCCTAGATCCTTAGTTTGGAAGTGCTGGAAGAGATACTGCTTCAGATTGGTAATGCCATCCTGATCATTGCCAGTAATAACAATATTATCAACATAGACTACTAGATAAATACAGAGACTTGAAGCAGAGTGCCGATAAAACAACGATATCCCTTCTGAACACGAGAATAACCAAGGAAGACACACTTGAGAGCACGAGGAGCTAACTTATCTTTCCCAGGGGATAAGTTATGAACAAAATGCGTGCTTCCAAAAACACGAGATGGAAGAGAGTATAAGGGTGACTAGGGAAACAATACTAAATGCGGAATCTGATTCTTGATGGGAGATGAAGGCATCCGATTAATCAAATAACAAGCTGTGAGAACTGCATCACCCCAAAAATGAAACGGAACACGAGATTCAATTAGAAGTGTGCGAACAGTCTCAATAAGGTGCCTATTCTTTCTCTCAGCAACCCCATTTTGCTAAGGGGTATAAGGACAAGATATCTGATGAGTAATTCTTTGAAGTCATAAAATGCTGAAATTGAGAAGATAAATACTCTAAGGCATTATCACTGCGAAAAATGCGAATAGAAACATCAAATTGGTTTTTGATTTCAGCACAGAAACTCTGGAATATAGAAAATAACTCAGAACGATCTTTCATTAAGAAAAGCCAAGTACATCTTGAATAATCATCAATGAAACTGACAAAATAACGAAATCCCAAGGATGAACTGACTCTACTAGGACCCCATATATCAGAATGAACTAAGGAGAAGACAGACTCTGCATGACTCTCAACACTACGCGAAAAGGAGGCTCGGGTATGTTTCCCAAGTTGACACGACTCACAATCTAATGTAGACAAACTAGATAAACTAGGCACCATCTTCTGAAGTTTGGATAAACTCGGATGTCCTAAACGTCTGTGGATTAGATCTGGAGGATCTGTAACTAGACATGTTGTGGAAGGACTGAGTGAGTTAAGGTAGTAAAGGCCTTCTGATT